CTGACACCGGATCAGCTGTGCACTTTGAAGCACTTCAAATGTGGAAACAACTTAAGAAGTTCCTCACGGCTTCGTCTCTGAAATAGACATGGATATAAGTCACAGGAATAGACATGCAAATTAAATAGTTTGATGTTAGAGATATGGAACTTGTACAATCCATGCATGTTGCAAAAATTTGTGCACACATTTGTCTGTGCCTGTAAGCACATTCAATCATTCATTGCTTGTAGAAAATTGAGTAGTCCATGGGAAATTTTCAGTACAACAGGATGGAATGCCATTTTTTGTTTTCCACCTAAAGTTTCCCAAATTCCAATGTTACTGTCACCCAGCTCATCCCTCCTGCCTTCCTGATTTTCCTCTTCATTACCCCAAATTACAGGCACAAGTCCAAACATATTTTGACGTCTTAGAGACATGAGAATTTTGATTGATAAGGTTAATGATGGGAAATACAAACCAGTATAATTTCCATCAAATAATAAATAAGAAGAAACCCTTGGAAATAAGAAAGCACAAAGTAGTTACCTTGATGCCAATGCATCCATTAACATCAAGAGTCGTAATCGTATTTGAGCAGCTCTTTGAAAGGACCTCTAAGCACTTATCAGTTACCCCAACTATTCCAAACAGACTGTACAATTTCCATCAACATACCATTAACAAATACATTTAACAGGGGAGGAATTTAATGGGAATAAGATGACTTTAAAAAAGACTGACAAGACCCAAGAGAAAACGTCTCCAGGTACGTAATACATGACCAAAATAATTTATCACATCAATTTCCAAATTAATAATATTTCTCTTATTGGGATATACCTGAGAAATTCCAGAGAAGTGCAACCTTCAGCAATAGTGATAACCCCTGTATCAGTAAGGCGCACACACCTGTGAAACATAGAAATGCCTAGCTTAGACTGTAATCAAATTACAATCATTTATTTCAGAGATTTCTATAAGAGGTCCAACACTTGCTTACCATGTCAAATTGAGAGAGACAAGAGACCTGCATTTCGCTATGTAGGAAAGACCTGCATCAGATAGGTTCTGAGAGTCCAATCTTCCATCAGTACAAAATTTTGCCAAGAAAAAAAAAAAAAAGTATCTAGAAACAGTTGAACAAACTAAATTTTTTTATCTAGGAACAAAAAAAAAAAAAAAAAAAAAAAAAAAAAGCCCAAGTCTTTTACCTGAGCACCGCATAAATCCAAGAATCTTAGATGAGCTAGAGATGATATCTTCTTGTATGCTTCATCTGTGAAGCTGTAAAAGGAAAATCATTATACTGGCATAATTTAAAAAACTAAGGAAAAAAACAAAATGAACATATATGGACATTATTGTAAACCTGGAAAGGGCATAAAGATTTAAACTTCGAAGTGAAGTGCAATTGAGCAATATTTGTTGCAAGCCACTATCTGTCATTTTGACACACCTGGGAATAGATAATCATATTATACAACTAACATCAGGGTTTATCTCATTCAGCAGTACTCGGTGGAACAATCCTTCAAACAAGATATTCTGCTCAAAATTAGCATTTGATCTAATCACCATCTTCTAGAGAGGGGGTAGTCCAGGATTCATTGAGAAATTAGATATCGTGCAGACATTATCTTGTACTAACCTTCACCCAATGTAACATAAAACAGTGTAGATTGACATACCTAGTCAGATTCAGTGACTCTAAATCTTGGTAATTGTCAGCTACTAATTGCAAAGCCTTGTCTGATAAATTCTGCGGTAGTTATGCAAAATAAAAGTCCATTCAATGACAATCCAGCAGTATATACTGAACGCTAAATACACAGCTGAAATAGTTAATATAGGGTGTAATCAGGACATACTGAAAGTGAAGAAAACAAAAATGTAACAGTCTGTTTGACATTTAAGTAAAAGAAATGCTGATACACAACAAAGGTAGCACTGCAAATAGGATAATTATGTAAAATTATCAACAAATAGTAACTTTAACAATTGAGCATGTTTTTAAGTCTAAACAATTTAGTCCGGTAGTAGGGAGATGATGCAGAGAAGGTACACTCCTAAGTAATTCAAGATAATTTGGCCAAAAAAAGAAAAAGTAATTCAAGGTAACAGGCTAGGTGCAACTCTTTTTCTTTTCACATCCATGATCCGTTACATAAACAAACCAGCCTTTTGTAGAAATATTCATTTAATTTACTTTCTCCACCCTTTTCTCATGTTTATCTAGCACCAAAAACTTTAAATAGGCCCAAACCAGGCCTTGTAGCCACACAGTTCATGGCCGAAGCTTACATGCTTGGTATCCTCAAGTTCTGAGTCCAACTCAGACCAGAAGCTCTCCTTGCACCCCCATAACAATTGCGAATGTTCAAAAAGAAAAAAAGAAAAAGATATATAAAAAAAAGAAGAAAAAACTGAAGTCCCATTGGCAGATTAGTTGTTTTTTCCTATAATAAATAATCCCATCCACCTTTCTGTTGGCAGTGGACCCATTTTAACTTCCAAGGGTCCATTCCTTTTTGAGTTATCTATTATTCCCCACTCTGAATCCATCTTAAATCATCACCTTAGCAAAATATTGCGAAGGGATCAAGTTAACAACTTAATGTCAAAGCTTCTGAGATTCAATTAGTCTAAGACACAGTAACTTTAAGTGTATGATTGACCACACGGGCAACCCCTTAGCCATTTCAAGACAACCAAAACCTAGATCTAGCATAAATTGTAGTTCAAATTGTGACTCTTGGAGATACAGTTGCAGGCCACTTTACCAAGGAATACAAAGTGGTGATTGTGTTTACCATAAAGAAGAAAGAACTGACACAAAGAAAAAATGGATGGATCTAGTTTGATGCCAATATTTATAATGCATACGAGTAGCATGTAGAATAAAACCTGCATTGAGGTAGGTCATTAAGTACCTTACAGCCACTTAAGTTCAAATCAACTACACGTTTGCAGTTCTTCACCATATGCTTCACACCTATATCAGATACCCTGAAAATCAGTACACGTTAAAATGATCCATTCGAATTGCTAAAAACTTCAATTCTAAAGACAAGTAAAATTTTGTGCATTAAACCCAGGGAACCCAAGAATACCTTATGTTCCAGTAGATAGAGAAGACCTTCAATTTAGGACAAGTACTGGTTATAGCTTCAATTCCTTTATCAGAGATCTTTTGGCAGCCATTCAAATTTAAACACTCAAGGCTTTGAAGAGAATCGGAATGCTGCAATGCTAAAAATATTATCAAGAAAACCTCAGGAGAAATAAACTTATCAAACATTACCATGGCATGAAGTTCTACTAATCATTGAACCAAATATATTCTATCCAATATTCCCAGAATCATAATCCATGACATTCACCTTCGCTTCTTCAAGACTCAGATACAAACTTTCATATAGAAATCAAACCATGTTACCTTGCTCCTAACAAGTTCGAGATGTCTGTCCTCTATATCTTGTGCAAATTCAAGGCTTATTTGCTTCAGATGCTGATATCTCGGCTATCAAGAACAAAAATGGAAATCTTTACTTTCACAACATGTAATATCTTTTTCATAGCCTCAATGACAAAAAAATCAAATGTTCCCAAACCTAACATTTGAGTACATAAGAACACATATGTCACTAATTTCTCTGGAATCCTGGAAACAAGCTTTCAGCTAATTCAGAAGACAAAAATTAGAAAGAAAATAAGCATCCTTACCAGTGAAAGAGCAGCTAAGAGTCGATCCCCAGCATTATTCATCTCACGCAAATCAATACCCTGATAAAAGGAAGAATACCCAGATCATAGAAGGCAATTCATATCAAATTTAAAGTGAAAAATCAAAACTTTAACAAGAAAAGAGAGGAGCTTTAAAGAGATGAAGGTGAACTGTACAAGCCAGAGTGAGGGGTAGGAAAGAAGAGTGCGGTGGAGCCAAGGGCTAATGACGAGGAGAGACACGAGGTCCCTTTGAGGAAGCCTTGAGCTCACTATCTTCATTACTTTGGGGAAAGTTTCTCTGTTCCATGTCAATAGCTGCTCTTCTTCTACCTCCATTCTCACAGGCAGCACTGCCACAGATGTAATGCAATCTTGTTGCTTTGTTTCTTCAATCTAACCTGTTCTAAACCTCCTTTTCAATTTTTTTTTTAAATATTAAATTTAATCCTTAGTCTTTGACACTATTGTTAGTTTAACTCCAATCCTTCTCTGAATTCAATTTGGGTCCTAAGCCCTTTGAATAACGAGCACTTCTAAGGCAGCCAAAGCTCGCTTTTGGTCTGCATTCTCAGAGCAAAAAGAATAAATTACAAAGTAACCAAACAGAAACTCAACTGGGTATTTGATTTTCTTCATTCTCCATACCCATGATTTTCAAAGATAAAAGTTTTCTCCTTTTACCGCAAAGATTAACATCACACGCCCAATTCGAGCTCCAACAATGGCGGGGCATAACCAAGGTGAGGCTGAAATGGGTGAAAAACAAGAGCCTAGACCACATCATCGACACCGAGACCGATCTCAAGGCAGCTTGCCTTCTCAAGGATGCTATCAAGCGCTCGCATACTGAGTTCCTCACAGCAAAGTCTTTTGCCGAGTGGCAAAAGCTTCTTGGCCTCACAGTACCCGTTCTTCGCTTTATGCGCAGGTACTTGTCTCCCTTTCGTGAATTTGATGTTGCCCTTATTCGACTTTTGCTTCCTTTTCGACGAGAAATGAAACGAATTAGAGATTTATTACTAGACTGTCGAATTTAGACGCAGAGAACATTTTATATGATGAGTGTTTGAGATTTGTATTGCACTAGAGCTGTTAATATAGTTAACACTTTGGATTCATATGTGAAAAAAGATCTCATTTTCTTTAATTCTTACTTGCCCATTTTGCAAAATGTCTTGTTTTGAATAAGCTGATATTGCAATGAAGATGTAGGATAGTGATGATTTTGAAGTTTTCAACTTTTGTGTAGGTACCCTACTCTTTTTGAGGAATTCCCACATGCTCGTTATGCTAATTTGCCCTGTTTTCGATTGACGGACACTGCACGTTTGTTAGATTCACAAGAACAAAGCATACACCAATCTCATGAGAATGATACTGTAGAGAGACTTTGTAGAGTTCTTATGATGATGAGAAGTAGGACAGTGCCTATTCAGTCACTACATTCTTTGAAATGGGATCTTGGATTGCCAGATAACTTTGAAAAGGTTCTGGTACCAAAATACCCAGATCATTTTAGATTTGTTAAGAATTCCAATGGAGTTGTGTCTTTGCGACTTGTGCAATGGCATGAAGAATTTGCAGTTTCAGCATTACAGAGAAGTAATGAGATTAGAGAAATGGGTAATGAGTATAGACAATTTAAGAGGGGGCAAACCGCATTGGCATTCCCTATGAATTTTCCCAGGGGTTATGGAGCACAGAAGAAGGTCAAGGCTTGGATGGAGGAATTTCAGAAGCTCCCATACATATCACCATATGAAGATTCTCGGCATATTGATCCAAGTAGTGAACTAATGGAGAAAAGGGCTGTTGGTGTTTTGCATGAGTTTTTGAGTTTGACCATTCACAAGAAGACCAAGAGGAACTACCTCAGAAGCTTGAGGGAGGAACTAAATATTCCACATAAGTTCACTCGATTGTTTACAAGATATCCAGGAATTTTCTACCTCTCATTGAAGTGTAAGACAACAACGGTAACTCTCAAGGAAGGATACAAGCGAGGAAAACTAGTAAACCCACATCCTCTTGCACGTCCTAGGGAGAAGTTTTATCATGTAATGAGAACAGGGCTTCTTTATCGTGGTAAAGGTGTGAATTTTTTATCTCAGCAGGACATTCTGCTTAATGACATGAACAATGAAGGAAAAGGAGAAGAAGAAGAAGAAGAAGAGATTGATGAAAGAGAAATTGTAACAGATGATGAATGCTATGCGGAAACTTCAGAGTTAGAAAATGAATCAGATGAAGAAGAATGATCATCTGACAGAATCATGCAATATTGCAGAATGATTTTTTTTTTTTTTTTTTTGGATAAAATTAAAATTTATTTATCCATAAAGACTAGCAGTACATCAAAGCAGCAGAACAGCTGCTACAAGAAAAGATAACTACACAAACAACATTAGTGCTGCCTTAGGTGATTAAAAGGGAGAGATGATAAAAAATTGAGGTAGGTGCTGCTTTTTATTTTATCTCACCCAGATACTGAAGTTCTTTCAGGGTTGTCCATTTCTGGACTAGGACTTGTGCTTTAGGTGAACTGAAGTGGTTGGCTTATATATGAAGTTGCTTGTTTTAATCTAGTATGTTACTAATTTCTGTTAGGTCACGGTTTGCATAGAAGCAATTAGAGATATTAGGATATGGTTTGGGAATTTTGATCACTGGATGTGTTCCTCTCTGTTTATTGTATTTTTGCGTTTATGGCACAAAAATTGGCATGTTTCCATCGGTGAAATTTCTGATACACCTGCTATATGTGTTAAGAGTCTTCATTGTATTTCTGCGTCGTGCTTTATTTTATACCGTCTTCTTTCTTTCATTTTTCCTTTTTACGAATTTCTTTTGCTAATTATGACATTTCTTTACCCCCTATCAAAAGGGCAGCTAAGCAAATGATTGATCAAATTTTCTAACATTTCTTTAGAAAGGATTTTGGATGAGATGATTCGAATGCCATGGTAAAATCAGATAATAATGGTGATTGTTGAGACACAAATGCAAGAATCCTTGTGGTTTTAATAAGCCATCCCAGAGGCCACCAAGCAACTGCCTTAGCAATGCGATTCATCTAAACCAGCAAAGTTATGGTCATAAACAAGGAACAAAATACTGCATTTCCTAAATTAGAACCCAGATGAACAGATTATGATCGTCTGCAATGATACAAAATGATCCTTGAATTGTGAAGGAAGAACATGTATATACATATACTCAAAAGAAGGTGATTCAGTTAATCCCATGCACTCGCCACACCTGGAGTGTATCCTCCATAACCACTTGGAATTCCATATCCAGAGTCAATATTCCCTCCACCATAGTAATCCATATTCCTATTAAAGGAGCCCTCCCTTCTGAAATCACGCCCACCAAAGCGCCCTCCTCCAGACCGTCGATTTTTGTTACCACCATAGGAAGCCCGTGATGCATAACGGGTGAGCCAGTCAGGTACCTCTTGATTTGCCTCTTGCATTAGATCAGCTAGTGGCCTTGCCAATGACAGATTGTTGTCGTTAAAGAAAGCTGTAGCCAGCCCAGTTTTGCCAGCGCGACCTGTCCGTCCTATCCGGTGGACATAGTCATCAATGTCATTGGGGAGATCAAAGTTGACAACATGAGCTACGTGAGGTATATCAAGACCACGAGCAGCAACGTCTGTTGCAACTAAAATTGGCGTTTTTCCACTCTTAAATGATCTTAATGCCAATTCTCTTTCCTGCACGCAACCCATCATTCACACACTTATAACAGATAACAGAAAGTGGGAAACAGTTACAAAATACATTTGAACACAATACAAGCATTTAACTGAAAATTCCAAATATCCTTTCTACTCTCCCCATGATACTACAAAACAGGACTAAAAATTGAGCTCTCCCTATTTCCTGCAGAAAACAAACAAAAAGAAAAACTGACATCTTTCTATATTATTCTTCTTTAAAAAGGACAAAAGAGGATTGAAAGAAACTTGTGAACATGAAGAAAGAAATAAAGAAAACAAGAACAAAGCAGAAGGCTGAGAGCTGGACAAATGATCAAAAGCAAGAAGAAGAATGGCCTGACTATACAAAAGATTTAACACTCATCCATATATAAGGCTCGCACCATAAGAAGTGATAACTAGAGATCATGTGACAAAGGCAAAAGGAAAATTGTCATACCACTAAAAGGGAAAGATAAATGCAATCTCTTCCACTTCCCCATAATAAATAGAATTCCAATAAATGACCTACCTGCTGTGTTCTATCACCATGAATGGTGGTTGCAGGGAATCCATTCATGTACAGCCAATGTTCCAATGAATCAGCTCCCTTTTTTGTCTCCACAAAAACTAATGTCAATGTTTGCTGCATGCAAAGTCAATGACAATACTTTATTATATCAAATGAACAAGAATGGGTATCCAAAGTGAAAATCACCAGTAAACAAATTTCATAAGAAAACAGATAAAAGAGAAAAGTTTCAATATAAATCTTTCTCATATTACCTTGCCTTGAACTCCATTTTCCCTCTGTGCATGAAGAAGGTCCATGAGATGGCTTCTCTTGTCAGACTCACGAACAAATTCAACTCTCTGAACAATTAAATCAGTACTTGAACCAACCCTTCCAACAGCCAAGAATATGTAATTGGAGAGAAAATCAGATGCAAGTCTCTGCATATATGAATTTGCATTAAAAATCATCAGTTGTATTGTGTTGTTGATACCTAATTAGAACCTTACCATCATTTCAAATGCAAGTAAGAATGATCCAAATGCACAAAATTTATGCAAGATAAGATTTCCTTATTCACTTCTATTGGACTAACAAAAACTGAACCCATAACATTTCAAACATACCCAAAACCATTACTACTTTAGCTGATGCTCATGACTAAACCCTTTAAAATAACATCTTTGATACTTAGGAATTAAAACATAGAAAAGTGGGAATAAGATTGGCAATATGCACTGAAGTTAGATCCCTCGCAAGTACATGCAAACTGAATTGATATTCATGCTACTAACCCAACAAATAACTTGAGTAACAAAGATATTCTTTGCTTCAGAAATAATAATGCCAACTACCAAGATACAACTAAAGTAGAGATCAATGTAAGAATTCATTAAATATTGAAGCCAACCTGTATTTCTTTTGGAAAGGTGGCACTGAACAACATTGTCTGCCTCAGACCTGGTCTAGGCATGTCCATTGCTTCCACAATCTTTCTAATTTGAGGCTCAAAACCCATATCAAGCATGCGATCTGCCTCATCAAGGGCCAAAAACCTAATCATCTGCAATGACACTCTAGCCCTCTCCAGCAAATCGACTAACCGTCCTGGAGTTGCCACAAGAATATCAACTCCTCTCTCAAGCTCTCTCAACTGACAAGATTTGCAACATTTTTGTAAGCAGAAAACAGGAAAGAACTTTTCTTAAGGATTAGAAATCAAGGAAAAAGGCCACCGAAGCTGAAGATACATGTTCACTAAGAAATAAAGCCCATAAAGTGAACAGATGAATACCAATATTAGTGCCTTCTAGAAGCAATTCCAACATTCTATGAATTCAAAAACAAAAAGACAGCAGCTATCAAATATTAATATTGAAACAGAAAGCATAAAGTAAGTTTATCAGTATATGCAAAGCAATGATAAAGCTCAAGGTATGGCAAATTGAAAAGATATATGTATGCATATAGTGATTTGGTGAATATAATCTAGAAACCTGTGGCAATTAACCAGTTGCTAATATATTGCAAGAAAACAAAAACTAATGCATGCAATAAGGACCTGTTGGTTAATTGGTGCTCCACCATACGCAACCACCACTTTGACGCCAGTTTGATAGGAGAACTTTTTGGCTTCATCATGTATCTGAAAGCCAGTTGCAATCAAACAATAAATGTTCATCTGTTCCAAAAAGTTGCATGTTCTAAGAAACAGTCCAAATGTGCAAATCAAAATTTCACCTGACATGAGAGCTCCCTTGTTGGAGAGAGAATAAGAGCAAGTGGGTAGACAGTACGTGGTCCACGTGGTCTCTGTACAGAATGCTCTCGTATTATTCCACAAATGATTGGAAAACAAAAAGCAGCTGTTTTCCCTGACCCGGTTTGAGCACAAGCCATCAAATCCCGCCCTGCAAGGACTATTGGGATTGCATAACGCTGCACTGGAGTTGGCCTCACATACTTGCACCTCCTAATGTTTTGATTCAACATCTCCCCTAAGTCTATCTCAGCAAATGAAGTCACTGGTGCCGGCACATTATCCCCACTAGTGTCGACCGGAATATCCTCGTAGGCATCAAAATTGATTCCCGTGTTTTCTTGCTCTCCAAATGCATCCTTACCATCCTCCTCGCCAAATGGGTTCACCTCCCGCTCCTTCCTGTCCCACGCCCCACTTCTACTATTCAAACCACCGCCAGTTCGTCCCCCATAACCATATCCCGAACCACTAGAATTATGTCCAGAACGTCCAACATCAGCTTTAAAGCCACCACCCCATCTGGATCCACCTATAGCCCCGACATAACCTATGCGATCATTAGATTGTGACGGAGCTGGGGGTTCCGAAGAAGGTGGTGTCTTGTTACGAAGATGCGGAGGAACATAAGTGGATCGAGTTGGACGAGATAAACCATTATTCTCTAAAGAACCAGAAGCTGCATTCTCAGATGCAGAATTCGCTACAGAATCTGCCCAGGACGTTCTCATAACTCCGATACCCACCTCAAATTTCGAAAATTTGCAACAACCCTGATGTAATTTACAGAAATTACAGCTAAAAACCTAATAAAAAAACAAAAACAAAACGCAAAACTCAAATCCTCCCAAATAGAAAATCGAAAACCCTTGTGCGCCTTCCTTCCTTCTTTACAATTCGTAGATCAAAACCCTGCACCCACAATGCAAGTAAAGTCAAGGAACAGAAAATCAAAATTCAACAACAATATCTCAAAAAAAGACGAAAAAAAGTGAAATTTCACCCAAAATTTGCAGGAAAAAGGGGCAAACAATGAATCTATGAAAATAAAAACAAGGGAAAAAATTGAAACCCTAGAGTTTGAAGAATTATTATGGTAATTGGATGAGACGCAGAGGGGAAATCGGCGGAGGGGGAAAGATGAGATATTTTTGCGCTTACCTTCTTCAAAATGAGATCAAAAGATTTTCTAGCGTTTTTCTTTGTGTGTACAGAATTAAGAGGATATATCTTACCGTACAATTCCGTGGCGTGTTTCATTTAGTTAACGAAGCGTGTACTTGTGACCATATTAGCGATAATGTAATGTTTAGTATAAGACGACGGTTTTTCTATTCGGAAATAATAGGCTATTAGCGTCATCAAATTCACTGCTCTCTTAGTATTTTCAGTTTAGGTCTGCTGTTTTTTTTTTTTAACTAATCTCTTAATATCTAATAATTACATTAAATTTTAATTAATTTAAAATTAAATTTTATCATATTTCATAAATGAAAA